TTTTTTTTTTTTTTTAGTTTTCCACATCATGAAAATGAGAGGTGTTACTTACAAAAGATGATTATAAACTTTCAAATAACATCTGTCAGTTTTATGAAGTGTAGTGTTTTGCATGGAAACTGGTACATCTGTATCCAGTAATGTGACGTGGGTCCCTATTTCACTGGGGTGATCTCAAGCCTTTACATTAACCTTACTTATGACTCGCCTGTGTGTACAGTTTCAAACAAAAGACTGCTGGGGAAAAAGTCTCTGTCTGTGTCCAAAATTTATCCAAAAGTTTTAAAAAATGTACAGAAAGTTCTTGTAAATCATCCCTCCTTCACTGATCAATTGGCTCTGATTTTTTGGTTTCTGTTTATTTTTGTATGTTTTTATACATATTATGAAACAAAATAACAACTGACTGTACTCTTTCAGCAGGCACTCTTAATATATAAATATCTAAGAATGTACATAAAATTTGTATTAGATATGGCTTAAATGTATGTATATATGAGGTTTATCTATTATAGAATAAATCTTTGTTCATCATTTCACACTGTCTGTTAATATCAATGATATGGATCATCTAAAACAGTTATGTACTTGGTCCCCATATCAATGTTGTCCGTATTGATTGAAATATTGTCATTTCAATGTAATTAGCAAAAGCTGCCAAAAACATCACAATTGGTCACATGACAGACTTGCATCGTGAGTGTACGTTTCAGTGTTTCGCTGTCTCCAACTGAACAACATTATTTTGGGAACTTAAGAAACAACGTTTAATGGAAGTCAAAGAGATCTAGTAGCCTACATTTTTTTTCAGAGCAACATCAATAACTCTGATATAATTACAGGTGTTACATTCATAAAGGGTTAGTTCACCCACAAATGAAAATTAGCCCATAAATTACTCACCCTCAAGTCATCCTAGGTGTATATGACTTTCTTCTTTCAGACGAATCCAGTCGGAGTTATATTAAAAATTGTCTTTGATCTTTCAAGCTGTTTAATTCCACTCAGCGGGTGTTGCATGCATCAGTCCAAAAGAAGTTAAATAAAAAGTACCCATCCATTAAAAAAAAGTGTCTCACATGGTTCCGGGGGGTGAACAAAGGCCTTTTGTAGCGAATCGATGCGTTTTTGTAAGAAAAATATCCATATTCAAAACGTAATAATCACTTTAATATAGCTTGCGACAAAAGTTGTACACTGGAAGCAGCTCCGGGCGGATGACGTATGAGTTCAGCTCTGCGCATGCGCCAGTGAGTCTCGTGAAAACCAACGTTTGTTAACAGGAGCAAAGGAAGCAAAGTTTCCTTACTTTAGCAAAGGAAAACAAATCTCCTCTTGGCTTATATCGAAATCCTCCGACATTCTTCTTTACAAATACTCGTTTTGTACTTCTAATTAGTGACCGTTGTTTTGTTTTGATCTCTTCACCGTTATTGAAAAAAATTATATCGCGATACATATTGATATTGAATTATTGTCCAGCCCTACTTGAGGGTGAGTAATTTATGGGCTAATTTTCATTTTTGGGTGAACTAACCCTTTAAATTATCCAAAGCAACTTATCCATGAGCAGTTAAGTAACATGACAAGTGCTATAAAATATATTACAGATAGTTCAGAGAAAGAAAGAAAAAACAGTTAAAGAATAGTTTGAGGTTTTTATTTTATTTTTATGTATGTATTTATTGTCTGATGGATTCAGTAAAGCGCTTACAGAAGAAATCTGTCTTAAAAGTTGTAAGGGGCTTGGCTGTTTGGGATTATCATGGTTCAAAATGATATATTTTTACTTAATTGTACTGTACTGTAATTATTTACCACAACATTGTCATAGCATATCTTAATTAAAAATGATGTTCCATCAGATTGTTCTGTTTTAGTTGTTATTCACACATTTTTTTATCCGTTTTAAGGATTGTTTTACTTTTTGTAATATTTCTTCGCTGTGCTTTAGAGAAAACATGGCCTGCAGGCTTGAAGAGTTCGTGTTGTTCTGTCAGACTAACACTAGGAGGAGCAGTTCTCCTCTGCGCCTCAGTACGCATGCGCAGACTTCATTCCAACCCCGCTAGAGTCGAGTCAGAGGAGGGCAACGCCAACCAGTTAGCATAGCTACTAGCAATGGCTTTTCATAACAACACCTTTGCTCTTCACTGCTGTCATCTGAGCACCATCCACGAGTGTTTCTGCACATGAGGACCTAACCGCCGACAATCAATCCAGCAGACTTACTTTGCAACAGCGAGCGCTTTTTTTTAAGCCAGTATGCGATGGGGACAGAGAGCTGTGGATTTCTACACGAATCTTTGCAGGCGGCTGCTGCTGAAGCAGAGGATGCTGCTAGGCTAGCGAGCTAGGCCTTTACATCCCACAGGAACCCTTCAGTACTGCGCCAGGAAGCAACTTGCAATCAAAATAGGAACGATTTTTGTACTTAAATGAGAGTTTGAGCGATTCGCAGCTCTCGTTTAGCACCAGACATCTGGCGAGCTGTGTGCTTTTGTTTGTTGATAGCTGCTAGCTAGCCGAACATCGAGCAGCCAATCCGCTATCTTGTTAGATTATCGACCCGTTTAATATTTCCAGAACGGCTTAAAGACAGCAGGTAAACCCGACTGGGTTTGGAGAAGGTGAGAACTGCTGTCGGATTGTGTGTTCATGCTACATTTGAGCAGCGTGAATGTGGAACAAAATGGAGACCCCGAAGATTCTGTACGATTTGGACACGTCTGGGGGCCTAATGGAGGTAAGCCTGTCTGCCCTTCAGCTGTGCCTCGAATCACTGTCATGTGTGTTAAATATGCCTGTATTAAGGATTAAATGAGTCGTAATAAAAGCAAATTGCAAAATGGAAAATAAGTCGTTTGTGGACATTTGCTTTGGTGAGTTAATGCAGTGCTGGATTGGGCCTGTTGCAGAAATGGCCTGCCTGGAAACTAGAACCGAAGACAAATTTATGTATGTATATGTGTGTGTGTGTGTGCAGATTTCATTATTGATATCACGTGATTAGATCTGATTTGACATGGAAAAAAGTTTGACCTCCTCATAGTTGAATGTGAGCACCCCCCGGGTGCTGCACGTTTTGGGGGTCTCTCTAATGTCACCCTTAATTTTAATCCAAAATCTGCATTGTGTGTATGTGTCAGATTATTAGTATGGCATCCAAAATGTGCAGTGACAAGGTTGGAAATACCAGTTGAATGTGTGAAGCAACTCTCCATTGAGTCTGTCAGGAGATCTTTGTGTAACTACATGCATGCTTAAAATGTATTTGTCAATCTGTTCCAGCAAATTCAACAGCTGCTCGCACCCCCACGCTCTGAGGATGGAGAGAAGAGACGCAAACCAGAGAGGGAGACCAGAAGAGGAGGCCGAGCCACGAACCACGACACCTGCGATAGCTGCCGTGAGGGAGGAGATCTGCTCTGCTGCGATCACTGTCCCGCTGCTTTTCACCTGCAATGCTGGTATGCTTCCAATGCATTTTCGTATCTTGTCTGAGTTTAACAGTTGACTGAATTTTTCTTTTAGATTTATGTACAAGTCTGTTTATGCTGCTGATTTTTAAAGGTCACAAAGATTGTTATCTGGTTGACTGATGTGGATTAAGAGGGTGACTTGTGGACATCTTGGAAGCACTAAGTTAGTAGTAGTGGTTAGTAATGGTTTGCACCAAATGCAGTTGTTTTATATCAAATGTATTTATGAACTTATGAACAAAATATTAAAAAATAAAATGCATTACCATTCAAAAGTTTTAGGATTTAAAATTTTTTTTTTAAGTCTCGAATGCTCACAAAGGCTGCACTTATTTTATCAGAAATACAGTAAAATTGTTAAATAATATGACTTAAAATAACGTATTTTTATATATTTTAAAATGTAATTTGTTTAGAGCTGTCAAAGGATTAATTCTGTTTATTTGCTTCCAAAATAAAAGTTTTTGTTTACATATTATGTGTGTACTGTGTATAGTTATTATGTATGTATATATATATATATATATATAAATACACACACATGTATATATTTAAGAAAAAATTTTGTTTATATATAAAATATTAATATAATAAATTATATATATATATATATACTTACACACATAATAATTATACACAGTACACGCATATATAATGTGTAAACAAAAACATTTACTAATCCTTTGACAGCACTAAATTTATTCCTTTGCCAAAGTTGAATTTTCAACAGCAATTACTCTAGTCTTCAGTGTCACACGAACGATTCTTCAGAAATCATTCTAATATGCTGATTTGGTGCTCAAGAAACATTTTCTATTATCATTGTTTAAAACAATTGTGCTGCTTAATATTTTTGCTGCTTAATATTACTGCCACTATTACTGTCACTTTTGTCACAGAAGCTACAGTCAGTTTGACAGTCCCATGTAGAAACATAACGCTGAAAACTTATCACACATAATGTAGATTTCATGATTGCTAACATTGCATATTGTTTTTGTGCACATGACACATTTTCCTCATCCAACAACAAAAATCGCCTAGAAATGGGCATTTAAAAAGTTTTTTTTTTTTCACTATACTGCTTAGCTCCTGACAGCCTGAGCTTGAAATAAAGTCTTAATGCACGTAAGAACAAAAAAATTCCCCTACAGGTTGTTTTCTGTATAGTTATCATTTCTCTCACTCTGAAGCCACAGCTGGGTCCTGTAGTTTATCATAGGGGCTTTGTTTGGATGGAATCACTCCTGCCTCATTTCATTTGATGGTTGTTTAATCCAAACTCCTGGTTTTTACTGCTGTTGTCCTAGGCCTGGGCGATAAAACGGTATCGATATTTATCGACGGTACACCTTCGATATCGATATAAAAAATGTTCGATATAGCGCACGATATAGGCACATACTATGAGTGACGCAGACAGCACACACAAACACGAACACATGCTGAAATGAGTGATGTGCCTGCCTGTGATGAGGAGATTGTGAATAAAGAATGAATATTAGTCTAATTTAAAATAAACATTTACATTTGAATGTTAGGTGTGCATCAGGGAGCGTCATCAGTGGCACGCGAGATGCGGTGATAATGTAAGTGAAGTTGTTGCATTTTAATGTTTTGTTAGTCTAGCCCACGAGACGTGCCGCTGCTGCGTTATTCATTCAAAATATTAGAGAAATATAGAAGAATCTTGATTAGGTTAAAACCGAAACAAGCCATTCACACAGAACACATATTCAGCGCATTTTTTAGACGGACAAATATGACTGCTGCACTCGCAGATGTATAGAAAGCCATGCAAAGTTAAAACAGTTTAAACTTTTAGAACTTTTCACGTCACGAATTTGTGGAGGTGTATTCCTTTTCACTGTGTCTCATGTTTTTAAATGCAGTCTGTGTGAATGGCACTTCGGCTCTTTGGATTAAGCAATGCATAAATGCATGATGCTGTTTTGTTCATAATTGTTTATGCAATTTACGAAATTATATTAGATTTTTATGAGTTAATTTAGACGTAATGCACGTTTTTATAGAGTTACTTCCTTGCATTGACAATTTAAATGCGCTGCATTATTTTGCTCATTGCACCCTCCTGTGGCCTCGGGAGACAATTAGACCTATACAATAAAGACCTATTTAATCTGCATATAAAACATAAGAAATTAGATATTTGTTTATTTGTTATTGTTTGATTGTTAAAACAAAAAAATAGTTGTTGTTTGTCTCAGTAAATTGTGTTAATTATAAATACAGTGGTTAAATTTAAACTTTTTTTTTCTATTGCTTTTTGTTTTAAAAAAAAAAAGTTATAAAAAATGTCAATAATTATCGATACCGAACGATATGAAACATTATATCGTTGATACATTTTTTAGCTATATCGCCCAGCCCTATGTTGTCCTATGCTGATCACTAAGGGGAAGTAAATGTATTGTTATTCAACAACTCTGTCCTGAGGGGTGATTTGTTCGGATGTACTTCACATTAAATCGATCCAGCCTTTCTCTTGGCTGATGTAATATAAAGCTAGTCTACATTGACTGTATGGCAAAGATGGAAAGAAAGAATGGTATTTATTTACATATTTGTGAAATATATCAATAACATTGCCTCATTTGCACCATGCAACCTAAAGATTGCAAAGAGTCCGTGTGGTTCAGTTTTTAGATTTGGTGAGACCTAGATGGTTTCAGTGTGATTGCAGCATTGTGGTTTTTAGTTGTTGTTTTTTTTTTGCATCTAGCACGTGAATAAAACCTGTAAGCTTTCACTGTATTTTTCATGCAGAAATGTCAAATATTTGTAAAATGTGTAAAAAAGCACTATTGTGTTTTGAAACATTTGATTCTTCACAGTAATCCACCTTTGAGCAGAGAGATGCTGCCCCCTGGTGACTGGATGTGTCATCGCTGCAGTGTGCGCAAAAAGGTTGGAAAATTCATATTTGCCATTGCTGTCTTGTATTTGGAAACTTAAGTTGTATTGTTCTACTGTTTTTCTATTCACATTTAAACAGGGTGTCCGCGGGTCCTTAAAAAGTCTTAAAATGTCTTAAATAACGTTTTCCTAATATAAGGCCTTAAAATGTCTTTAATTCGGATTTGATGTGAGGTAAAAATTCAAAAGGTTTAGTTTATTCATAACATGATATAGTTAAATAACACCATGACAAGTGAGCTATTTGCTCAATATTTTCACGATGCAAAAAAACATTAAAAACACCTGCAGAGTGCACGCATTACGTGAAGTCTAGTGCGCGTGCGCATTTATGAGCTCTTTCACTGCATGATTCAGTCTATTACAATACATTCTGAATGATCACAAATTCAAGACATGGGGGCAGAAAATGTGTATATTTATACCATTTCATATAGTTAATCAAGTTCACACGGAAGAGTGCCTTTTTTTCTCCAAAAATTACCATATACAAATGTGATATTGATTTTTTACAACAGTTCAATAAACTAGAAGTTTTATTAAGAGACTTACGTTTTAGACACCATATTGCCTGCTTTTGCACTATTTCGGCAACAAGAATAATTCCAAACACAGCCACAGTGCTGCTTTGCGTCTTTGAGCAACATGACGGCGTTTCGTTCCTGAATGAATCAACCGTTTAAATGATTCGGTTCAGTCGCAATGACTCACTTAACAGTGACTTACTGCCACCTACTGGCGGTTTTAATTTCACGTTTAAAGTATCTTTTCATTTTTTTCACTTACTGGTAGTTTAGTTGAGAAGTATGTTGGAAAGTATGCATTTTGCCCTCAACATTTCTTATTTGTATGCATTTACAAATGCATTTTAAATGCATTTAAAACATTAATCTCATAACATTATTTATTGCAGTTGTAATTATTGTTATTTGCAGTGTACATTATTTAATCTGACTGGTAGCAGCCCTATAGTGTATATTGAATTTATTGATAAATTGTAATAATTTGACATGTAAGATGATGCATACATCTAAAAAGGTTAAAAATAGGCCTTTGTAAAGGTAAATATGCAGATTTAAGTATGTAAAAGCTGATAGAACACTGATGAAAATATTGCTTCAGAATAAATTGTTTACTCCACCAAAAATCTCAGTGATGCAGTTATTTTGCGGGGATATTTTGTATGGAATATTGTCTGCTGACATGAAAAGTTCACTGTATATCATAGTAATAAATATAATTTATTACAGCAATGATATTTTGTTTTCTTTTTAATTTATACACATTAAATATTACATGTATGTAATAAAATGTGTATTTCCATTACAAGTTTAGGTCTTAAATTTCATATAAGTTGGTATTAAAAAGATCTTAAAAAGTTTTACATTTAACTTGTTCATGTCTGCAGAAACCCTGTTTAAAGGAATAGTCCACCCGAAAATTGGCAGATTATATAATAAAAATACATTTAAAAATGCGTAAAGGTTTGGAACAACATGAGGGTGTGTAAATGATGACATGCCTTCTCCACAAAGGATACAATCCCTGAATGCATTGCTTTAAGCACAATAAAAAAAAATCTGAGAAATGTTCATTAAACAAACTTACATTTCATTCAGTGTCAAAACATCGATAAAACTTGTCAAATAATTAATTTACTCAACGTGTGCACTGATTTTTTGTTATTAGAGTAAAAGATACTTTAATAATGCTTATTAGAGTACCTTTTAGCTTAGCAGCATGTTAACGGTTGCCTTAGCAATAGTGGTCGACTGATATAGTTTTTTTGACAGCCGGAAAAATCTTGGAAAGCAGGGTGGCCGATATAAAACCAATATAATTTTATTAATTTTAATTAATGTTTAAAAAATTTGAAATCATTTGAAAATGGATTAACCATACTTATATTTTAGATGACAAAGTATTTTTCACAAATAAAGAATGTGAAAAATTAATAAATAAAGAAAAGGAAGTAAACACTGTAACCAACAGGGCACTCAGTATTCTGGGAAGTTTGTGTGCATTGGGATTTGGGAATCATATTTTTTCAAATAAAGCCAAGGTAACACTCATTTTACATACAGCACACAGTGGAAATGACATGAATATGGCAGTGGGCAAATGCATGAAGCGCAGCATAATTTGATATCACGAGTTTAAAGTTTGTCGATCGCGCGTCTCCAG